CTTGAAATTTTTATTTCTTTAAAATTCTATGAGATGTCCATTGATGGATGAGTGGGTTTTTTAAAAAATGTGGTGTATGCATACCACAATAGGATATTATCCAGCCTTTTAAAAGAATGATTCTTGATACATGTTGTAACATGAATGAACCTTGAGGACATTTTGCTAAATTAAATAAGCCAGTTACAAAAACACAAGTTCTGCACGGTTTCACTTACATAAGATACCTAACATCAATTAGTAGAGAAAAAAAGTAGAATAGTGGTTGTCAGGGGATGAGGGTCTTGTTTAGCAGAGTTGAACCTTTGCAAGACACAAACAACTCTGGAAACCAGCCACACAACAACGTAAATGCTCTTATACTGAGCTGTATGCTTACAAGTGATTGTGGCACATCTTATGAGTATTTTACCAATTAAACATGTTTTAATGCTTGGTGGAATGTATACATACAAAACAGTATATAAAATGACCTTCCAGTTTAAACCCACTGGAAAGGCTGGAAAGGCTCACTCCCCATCTGAATGAATGAAATATCACACAACCTTTTAAGCTCTTAGCATCCCTACCTGATTTCATGCCACTCCCACTTTCTAAAAGAAGCTATCCTACAAAATGTTGTCTTCGTCGTTTCATCATTTCCTTACTTTCCCTTACGATTTTGCTAGGCACAGGTTTCCCCTGCTATCCAAAAGTAGAGTGTACCTACAGAAATGTTCAGAAGCCCAAAAGGCAAAAATCAAAGCAGTTGAACACTATCTTTGCTTAAAACTCCCTTCTGATTTCTTTCACTTAGCAAAACCAGTACTATTGTATAGGTCTTTTGTAAAAATCAAGTGGTGTAACTTGAATTTTGGCAAAGCAAAGGATTTTTATATATTCTTAAACAGTATCTTGTTCCGTTTGGCTACATTTTAACCTGTATAATGAAATGAAGCAAATGCTCTCTCTCTTCTGTGATTTCTTTTTTTTTTTCCCTCTGACTACTTTTGGGGTGGACATTATTGTTATTACTTGTAAAATTTGCCTATGAGTCATGGACTTTGGTGTGTCTCACAAATTTCACAGTGAAAAAATAAATACATAAAGTACTAAATGTAAAGGTTGAAGTTCTTAAAAAAAAACATAAAGAAATCTAGGTGACTATTTTTATAGTCTTCAGATGAGGAAAGCTTTTCTAAGCATAACACCACAGACAGAAGTCACAAAAGAATGGGTTGACGTGCTGGATGACAAAACAGTTTAAACTGTAGATTTAAAAAAAAAAAATTTAATGCCCTAAGCAGAGTTCAAGAGACAAAACAAAAAGTGTGAAAAATATAAGACATAAAAATGATACTCCCATTCCTTGAGTGGGGGAGGGTCCTCCAAATCTGTTGAAAAAAAGATGAGCAGCCTCCCACCTGCTGGTCTCAATAAAGATGGCACAATAGTTTAATAAGGTGATAAACATTAACATATGACCAAAGTCTGAAAGTTTATGCCCTTTTATTTAGTAATCCTAATTTTAGGAATGTTGCCTTAGAAAATGGCCAGAGAGGTACATGATGCTCTGCCAATCTACCTATAATCTAAGGAAGATGCAAGTGACCTAGATTTTAAACAATGTGGGGTTGTCTGAATGACCAAAATCATTCAAAATCATGTGTCAGAAAAATACTTAACCAGAAAAATAATGTTGATAAGTTTAAAAGTGGGTTCTAATCTGACTAATGACTGACTGGAATACAAATGGTGCAGTCCCTTTGGAAAACAGTTTGACAATTTTTTCTCAAGTCAAATATACATTTCCCTCACCACCCAGCAACTCCACTCTTTGATATTTACCCAAGAGGAATGAAAATACGTGACCACACAAAACTTGAACACAAATGTTCACAGCAGCTTTATTTACAACAGCCAAAAACTGGAAATAACCCAAATGTCCTCCAGCAGGCTAGCAGGTAAACGATGTGGCGTGTCATATTCAGAAATAAAAAGGAACAACTTTTGGATAAATCTCAGAAGCATTAAGTGGATGAAGCTAAACATAAAAGCCTGGGTACAGTATGTCGGAAAAAGCCAAAACAAAAGTGACCGAAAACGAAGCAGTGTTTGCCAGAGCTGGGTTGGGAATGGAAGCCAACTGGGAATGGGCGGGGGTGGGGATAGGGGGGCGAGAGGGAATTTGGGGATAAGGGAGGGTTCGGTCCACATTTATCAAGCTCACTAAATGGTACTTAGCATTGGTGGAGCTTGTTGAGTATCAATTACTTTATTTATAAATATTTTAGTGTCTATAAATTATACCTCCATGAAGCTGATAATAAATAGCTCTTTCAAGCATACTATAAAATACCATGGTTGACAGGGCCTCGATTAGTGTCAAAAAATGGTACCAGCTGTGCTGGTCATGATGGACTAAGACATGCCATGTAACAAAACCCCACAATATTGGTGGCTTAACCAAATGAGGCTGTGTCACATACTCATGCCTCAATCTGCCCAGGCAGCTCTCCTCCACACTGTAGCTCCGGCATCCAGGCAGCTGCCATCTGCACAAGAGACTTCTACAACTACCAAAGGAGAAAGGGATGGAGATGCAGTCTAGCTATAACCTATAGGAACTTCAAGTGAGTGTGGTCATATCTGCTCCTAGACCATGGCCCAAAAGTTCTCATAGTCCCAACCGAAAGGCAAGGGAAGCTGGGAAACAGGAAATCCTGATCTCCAGTGAACGCTCTCTCTGTCACAACAATCCACATATCTCTTGCTCGCTCCCTCCTACATAGAAATACATCCTTCCCTTAAGAGGTAAAGCCCACCTCCCATGCAGCCATCGCCTCCAGCTGGAGCACAGGATCACTGTGACCATTGGCTGTGGGACTGTGCAGTTTCTCCATGTCCAGAGTCTTCTGAACAAAAACAGCAAATTATCCACCCCTTTCCACACACAGTCAAAATACTTCAGCAAGACAGGGATCAGGAACCCACAATAAGCTTTCCGATTTGGAGGCCATCAAGACATTTCAAAATTCACCTATAGAATTTCTAGTGAAAAGCATTTAGAATTTCAAAATTCCTAGTGATCTTGAGAACTCACCTGGCATTCTTTGTGTAGCCCCTACCTGGAGGGTAAAAGGATCTTTAATTAGGCCCTGAGTCTTCTCTCTAAGAGAAACCCCTGGTCCAGTGCCCTCCACAAGCCCTCACTCTGCCTTCTGGGAGTGCTCTCCCCCAACCTTACTCTCACTTCATTTCCTTCTTGCCCCTAACTGGAGCCATATCTGGAGAAAGTTTTCTCACTTTCTTGGCCCAATTCCTGTTTCCTAAAAGGGTGAAGGCCCAAACAAGATGTCATTCCCTTTGAAACTTCAAATCATCGAAGGTTTTTTCAAGGATGGGATCTCACTGGAATTATATTCACTTTAAACACCTAGTAGGCAAACTGATAGATTTTCTCAGGTCTGTGCTATGTGTCAGAATGCTCAAACTTCTTTACAAGCAATAATTCTCATCTTCACGCCCTTGTCTTATCTCCTAGAAATAATTTACTTAATTCTTATCTTAATGGCTCAGTCTATATGAAGCAATAGGTAGGAAGGTCACACGTTAATCTAGTATTTACCCTGAGGCACCTGTTTACCTGTTGCTGGATTTCTGGCCCAAAGTCTCTTTAATTACTATCCCTCACTGTTAGGAACCTAGAAGCAATGGAGTGTTGCAGCCCTACTTTTTCCTGAACTTCTAACTTAATTCAACTCCTTTCAATTCTTTTGAGCTTATTTCTTTCTTGTAATCTTTGCCAAGTGCAGTCAACAGTAGCAAAGAAATATTACTAACATGTTTCCAACCTCTCCCTCCAGAACTATAAATCCAGGAGTCACTTGGTAATTGTTCTAGGTGACAGGTTTGTGAAACGGTCTGCCCCTGTGTCATCAGGATCTCTGTCTTTCCAGCCTCTTACATCAGTTTCCTTGCAGCTGCCCTTGTACTGCTAAGCCAGTGCCACCTATTTCAGAGGTTGCAATGGCAGTATTTCTCCTCCATATCAGTTTCATTATGAGTCAGAATAAGGCAGACTGTGTTAACAAGTCTCAGCAGTTCAATGGCTCACCCCTATAAAAGCTTACTGTTTGCTCACACATGGTCTGATATGAACTGAGAAGGATCTAGGACTCAGGGGCCCAGATCCCTCTACCTTGGATGAACTCTCTATTCCAAGATGACCACCCCATGAAAGAAGATAGAGGTACTCCAGATCTGATCAATTTCTGCCTGGAGGCGACAGGCAATTTGGGAATCTGAAGGGGAAACACAAGACACTCCCAGGTATGGGAGATTGCAAGGCCTCGGCAGGAATGTCTGGGCGGCTAGAGCAGTGCCATGCTGTGAATTCTCAATACTGATAAACTAAAAGTCCACCCAAGGCAGGGCCCCACACTAATGAGAATCTGCCAACAATAGAATCTGAATTAGGCAGAAGAGAGACAACGGGGACAAAAACAAAAAGAAATAAAAGAATAAGAGGAAAGAAGGAAGGGAGGGAGGGAAGAAAAATTAAAAAGGCCTAGATAAAAGAGAAGATACAAGACCATTTTTTGTAACATTTCATAAAAACAACAGAAGAGGGAACTATAGAACTATGAAGCTAGAAAGACAATTTTGACCCACCCCTCCCCTTGAAAGTTCAGAAAACTCATTTCATAGAAAAATAAGCAACATAAAAAGACTGTGGTTAAATCCCATACAAAGTTATTTTTTTTAAATGAGAATAATAAGCAATGTCCCTACAGATAATGAAGGCATTCCAGAAATATATGCCTGCAAACACATGCCCCAAAACATAAACACTGTGTCCTAATATTTAAAAATGAGTCAACATAAATTAAGAAAGTAATAAAAGATGCAAAAGAATAACAAATCAAAATGAGGAAACCTTAGAAAAGATGTGCTAGAACTGAGGAAAGACTAAGAAATAAAAGGGAAAACTCATTTTAGAATGAAGAATAAACTGGAAGGAACTTAAGAGAAAATAAACACAAACAAGTTTTCAAATTCAGTTAAAATAAACTCTAAAGAGAATTTAGAAGATCTGGGGAGGTGGGAAAATGAGGTTAAAGGGGCAATTGTATAGTGGTGGGTGGAACTAGACTTTTGCTGGTGATTGTAATGTAATATATAATGAAATATAATGCTCTACACCTTCAGCCTAAATAGACCAATGTTACTTCAACCACATTTATTTTTAATGAGAAAATTTAGAAGACAAAGTAGTGGGAAATTTTAAAACAAAATAAAATGGAAGAAGAAATAGGATTCAAGAGAGTGACTATGTGGAGGCCAGGCAAAAAGATCTAACATATGTATAATAGCAGTCACTGAGGAAGGAAACCAAAGCTAAAGGATAAAGACTACACACTATAATTTAAAAAAAAAAAATTCTTTCTTGAAATAAACAGAAACTTGGACCAACATGGAGTATCTGAAAAACTGACCCAAAATATCCAACAGAGAAACATAGTTTGTCATTGGGAATTTAGGCAAGAAGATCTCATCACTAAAGCAAAGAATCAGATTGTCAGACTTACCTAGATCAGCATTTCCTGCCAGAAGCCAAGGAATGCACATTTACAATAGTAAAAGGGTACAGCATGAGCCAAGGACAGTATATTTAGCCAAAATGACTTCCAAGTATAAAGATTGTAAACAAGCTGTTATTAACATCCCAGAACTCCAAAAATATTGCTCCTGTGAGTGCATTCTGAAGATGCTTTTAAAAAACAGCCTTCAGATAACCATGATGACTGAAAAAAAACAACACAGAACTGATGGTTGGCATTAAATATAAATATCACAGTTATTTGTACATAGTTACTTATACACTTAAGACCAAATAGAGATTACAACAGATATAGCAGAGTATGATGCAGTTCAACTGTCAAATATTTGACAGGAAAATGGGAATAGCATATAAAAGTAGAAGCTCATTGGTTGCCTTGCCGGTTATGCCTGGGAGGAAAAGGCTACTCAGACAAATCAGATGTTGTGGGAACAGATGGGGGCAAGTTTCAACACTGCTCATAGAGGGAATCGATAGACAAAAGAAAGGAGACTAAAGATAGTAATATAAAGGTAACAACTGGAATAAAAATGTGAAACTCTCCTAAGTACAAAAGAAAGCCAAAGAGAGGGAGATTAAAACCATGTTTAAAGATAATTTGCTCAAAACACTTATAAAGATATAAATGTAACATAAAACAGTAAGGCAGAACTGAGGCTAAATATATTGATTATATGGTCTTCACTCACCTATTAATAGAAAAAAAGGTTTTTAGGTTGGCTAAGAAAGGAAACTCCAACGTTATATTTTCAGTCTCTCTGGAGTGATGGCCAGAACATATTGTCTAGTGAAAATTGTAAGGCAGAGAAAAGTAACTGTAGTGTGCTCCCAATTACCTAATAAAGGAGAGGACATTCACAATACAAACCGCCTTGTATTAGAAATAAAAAAGGAAGAATGTTCTGATTATCTGATTATCTGTTTTCTGTCACGGTTTAACAAACTACCCCAATAGTTGGCTAAACAATCATTTTATTATATAAATGGTTTTGTAGGTTGGGAATTCAGGCAGAGCTAGTCTGGTGGGTTTTCTTGACCACAAGGCATGGATAGAGGTCACTCATTGGTATCCCATTGGAGATGGCCCTACTGGAAGACACCTGGTGACTTCACTCACACAACTGGTATTTGGGGAGACAGCTGGAAGGCTGGATTGCAGACAAGTGTGCCCACACGTGGCCTTTCCTGCAAGGATTCTCTAAGTAGTCAGGACTCCAGGCAACAGTTTCCAGAGTGAACCAGGTGGAATTGCTGTGATGTTGCAGACTCAGCTCGGAAGTCCCTGAACATCACTTTTGCCACACCCTGGTGATGGCTGAAGCAGCCATAAGTTCCCAGATTCAAAGGGAGGAACATTTCAATGGGATGAACATCCAAGAATTTGTGACCACATTTCACAAATACCACACAAACTATGTGTTTTTTTTAATAGTTACTAATTGAGAAGAGCCTCGGCAAGAGTACTTATTGCAAGCTACTGAAACTCATATAATAACCTCCATGAGTTCATAATTGTTTTTAATCCCTACTTTAATCCCTATACCATTGGAAGACTAGCTTAATGTAGAAAACTGCTAGAAGGACCCAGTCCAGCAAGAACCCTGCCTTTCCTTTACAAACCAGCAAAGTAGTAGTGAGGGGAATTTTCTCTCCATAGAAATACTTCCTGGGCCTCCCTGGTGGCGCAAGGGGCTAAGCACCACACTATGTAGAAATCCGCAGCCTCTGCAGCATGAGTTCCATCCCCAGCCAGCGAGGGAGCAACCCACATGGCGCAGCAGACCTCTCCTGTCTCGCCCACTGCTCCCCTCAGCAGTGTATTTCAGTCTGCCTGTTCTATTCCCCACTCTGTCTCTGGTGAATCTTCTCACCATCCCCCGCCCCGCATCTCTGGCCTGTACCCCAGCACTTGTATGCATAAATAAATAAATCTTTACCAAAAAAAAAAAAAAAGAAATACTTCCCCCCATAATGAGGCAAGAATGATAGAGTTAGGATAGCACCAGTTTGCAAACACTGATAAATAAGTGAATCCAGGCACCAAGCATCAGCAGCTGCCAACACCACATATATGCCAGGGGATCACAGAACACAGAACTTTCCACCAAGTATTCTTGCAAAAATAAAAATAAAAAGTCCACCCTGAATCATACCATCTTCCAATTTACAGGAAATATAAAGACTGGGAAATTCTACAGGACTAAATAACCCAGATTCTTCAATAAGTAAATTATAAAAAGAAAACTTGGAGTCAGCCTCCATGAAAGATACTTAGGAGGTACATCAGTTAGGGTGGCTCGGAGACCTGATTCAGAGCCTGATTCAAACCATGTGGTGTGCATTTTGACATTTACAAGATGATTCTAAAGTTGAACAACCAGTAGATATTTGCTTACATTAAGGAATGATTATCACATGTAAAGTATTAAATAATGATATTCATTGTTTTTTAAGCCCCAATCTTTCTGAAATATTTGTGGGGGAAATTATAAGATGTCTGCATTGAGTGGGATGAATGTTCCAATAACTTGGCAGGGGCAGAGGGTGGGAGAAAAGAAAAGATGAGACTGGAATGAGAGATCTCTACTGAACTGAGTGCTCAGCATCTAAAGGCTCATTACTTGCCCTCATTTTGTATGTGTTGAGACCTTACATAATAAAAGGCTTATGTATATAAATTTTTGTATAATAAAAAATTCATACACAGACAAAAAAAGGCTGGTAGGACATAAATTAAAATGCAAGCTGTACATCTTGAACTTACCTGATGTTGTATGTCAATTATATCTCAATAAAAATAAATTTTTTTAAATGCTAACCATAAATAATTCTGGCAGATGGAATTATAAGAAAGTTCTCTTTTTAAATTGCTCGATATTTTCTAAAATTTCCACAAGGAACACATAGCACTTTAAAGAAAAATTCAACCAAATTAGCCTTCATTCCCCAAGGGCGAAGGTTTCTCTCGGCTCTCCAGGTGGATGGATGACTTGGCACGACCTGGCTGGGAAGCCATTTGGCTGCAGAAACTGTGGCCCTACAGGCACATGTGCTTCCCCTCACCCCCACTTCTGGGATCCGTGCCCAGGAAAAGCATCTAAAATCTGGAAGGCCAACCAAGAGCCAGCTCCAGGACATCCATGGCAGCGTTAGTTACAGGAACTGGAACTAGGAGTCAGGGGCCATGACCAATGACTGGAGCATTTAGGTGAAGGCAGGCCAGGCGTGGTCACAGAGGTCGTGGACTGCTAGGCAGCCACCAGATTGGTCTGCATGACCTCAGACTTAATGGTGAGTGAATGGAACACACACCTGTACATCTGCCGTGACTCCATGGTGAATCGTATGGAAACTGAATGGAAGCCAGTTATCAGCCTCCTGGGACACCCCATTAATATTTCAAATGAAACTGCCCTGACCCCTTGAGGGGGAAATTTGTCTTTCCAAAATCTCCTCCAAAGTCCTCAGGAAGCTGACAGATCCCAGTGCCGTGTCTGTCACACTCCCAGTTTTGTCCCTCTACCTGTCTGGCCAAATTCCATGGACATCAGTTTCTTTTCCTGGATTGCAAGCCCTGCCAGGCTGCTGTGGGTATCAATTTAACTGTGGGAACAGGTGGGCTTCACAGCAAAGATCTCAGCACAGACAGCTCTCCCTGGCCACTCTTATCTTTTCCCCCCAACTCCTTGCTCCAGGATGCTCTGAAACCCCACCCAGAAGACACTGAGGCTTCTGACACCCACAGAGTCCACAGCATATTTCCTCAAAGTCCATTCTCAGTGAAAGAATTTTATTCCAAATTTAAAATAATATTTCATTTCCTTATTTGTAATGGGAACTGACAAATATTCCCTCCTCCTACAGTCAGAGCCCTGGTACCTGGGCAGGTACCTGGCTGCCTGTGTAAAGACTACATTTCCCAGCCTCCCTTGCAGATCTGCATGACCATGTGACTAAAAAATGGCCAAGGGCCATCTCTTCCCCCATCCTGCCACCCAGATTGTGGGCTTGGTGCCAGGGAACCATTTTGAGTCACAGGGATAAAGGCGTCAAACAGAGCAGCGATCTGGGAGGAATGGAGGCCCTGGCACCGTGCAGCTGCCATTTGTTGCTATGACCACAGACCCTCGGAGTGCTCCATGAGAGAAATCATCTGCTTTAAAGTGTCATCAATTTGGTTTTGTTGTTGTAGTTAATAAGCAGCCAAACCTAGGCCCAAACCAATAAACTGACTCTGTTGAAGTGTGCCCAGCCAGCATCAGAAGGTTGACTCTCAGGTTCTTCCAGAAGCAGGGCCTGAGGCAAGTGCTCTGTGAAGGAAGTTCTCCTGGCAGAAATCAGTGAGGAAGTAAGGGAACAGGAGAGAGTAGAAGCCCAGCAAGGGTGCATTCTCCTGGCATGGCATGCTCCCAGGGAGCTAGGGAGTGAGACAGCACCCTGAGTTCGTGCTGCTTAAGGCAAAATACTGGCTTTCCTGCTGCAGCGTTGGCTGGCAATGCCCTGGGATGTGGGTAAAGACTCCCAGGCACTCCAAGTTTGCTGTGGGGTAGGAGGTTGGGGTTAAGGTAGCTCCGGGGATTTGAGGGCAATTCTCTGAAGCTGGTCCAAAATGCAAGTGGTCAGCAGTGAGCATAGAGGAAAGTTGAGGTGGAAGATGGGGGAGGAGGGGTGTCAGGCATGGGGTCTGTATAAAGAGGTCTGCAGGCACTGGGAGAGGGGTCAACTCAGCTCCACACATGAGAAGCCTTCCAGGCCCTTTGTGGTTCCCACCCTGTCAACTTCTCCCACCAACCTTAGCCCCCCTGACAAAATGAGCAACTGAGAGGCCCAATGTCCTTCCAGGTCCTTCACCAGGAGTGAAACTTAGGGTTTGATTGCCCAGTAAACCCTGCTGGCAAGCCCCAGCTTATGGGTATGAGAACATAAAAATCAGAGAAGTGTGGCAATCTGCCCAAGACCACACAGCCCAACAGGAGGACTGAGGCAGGTGGACAAGGGGTGGGGGAAGGGAGGAGAAACGAGATGTTATAGAAAAGACTAAAACCATGAGAGAACCTGGAAGTAGGCCCCAGATTCTGTGGGGAGCCAAGAGAGCTAGGCTGGGTGTGGCAGTGGGAAGTTATTAGGGGAGAAAGATCTTATAACAATTCCATTTACTGAGCACCTCTATGGACTAAAACCTGACCTTCCCCACTAGGATTCTCAGAAGCACTGGCTTCTTAGGTTGTTCAGTAGCAGACACTGAGAAGGATTTAGGGCAGGAAATCCAAGGAAATACCCATAGGGAAGTGAGACAGGGAGGAAAAGGGCCAATTAAGTGGGTATTCCCAACTCAGTTCTCTCTGGGGTGCCTAGTGTGCCTTTCAACTTGGGAAGCCTAGAGATGGTACAGAACAGACCCTTGGTCCCCTCTCCTTGGGGGAGGGATACTCCTGAGGACCACAATCTTTACGCATGCTGGCCCAGAGAGAGCTCCTCGGCAGAGGTAGGCATTTCCATTCTCCCCATTTTCCTAAGGAAGAACTTGACCTCACAGTGACAGAGGGGCTGCCACAGTCACATGGCTGGAAAGCATGGTTCCTCCGCCCATTCCACCCAGGGCACAAGATCCTCCCACCCTTTCCAGCTCTTTCTCTTTCTTTGTTCTGAAAATAGCATTTACCAGTATTTTGAGACCAAGTGCTTTCTTTATTTTAACAAGATTTAAATAAGGTAGAGCTTTCCAGGTAGACTTTGGCATATTATTTACTTAGTTCAAGTAACCCTCTCTAGGGATGAAAGGCCAATACCTGAAAGGGAAAGAATAGCTCAGTGGCCAGACCCCACCCTGATAGTCAGCCCTGGAGGCCAGGCACCATCTGGTTCACCAGCCCTTGGAGCTGGCAACCTGGGTTTGGATTTCAGGCCTGCCCTTCCCTAAGTCTGCAAACTTAGACAGATTGTTTAACTTCTCTGTGCCTCCATTTCATCATCAGTAAAATGGGGACGGTGACCAAACAGCCTCATTCAATGTGATAACCAACACAAAGTGCATGGAAAGTGCCTGGCACAGAGCAAGCTTTCCATAAATGCTAGGTCAACCCTGCCTCCAGGGAGCAGAAACTGGTGTAGGCAGCAGACTGGGACTCAAACAATAGCCACCCAGTGTGACTGGAGCTGCCACAGAAGCCTGTGAAATCTTACAGTCCCAGAACGGATGCTCCAACCACCAAGACCAAGGGTTAAAGGGCAAGTCCGTCTTGGTCATGGCTAGTTGTTGACCAGGGTGGGGGGTTTAAAGCGAACTATGAGAAGGAGAATAAATTTGGAGCCCAAAGAACAAGGTTCCTGATGCTCCCCATTCACTCTGGGCCTGGAAAGGCCCAGGAAGGGGGGCGGGGGTGAGTGTGGGGGTACAGGAACCAGAGAGACAGGTTTACTAATTGAGCACCTATTGTGTGCCAGGCTCAAGTCAGACTTTTACACTCTCAGGGGGAAACTCGCCACAATCCTGCATGATAAAAAGTGTGTCATGTTAGCAGCCCCAGATTGCAGAGGAGTTAACAGTCCCCGAAAGGTTTATGTGACATCTTCAAGGTTACACAGTCTGGGGTGAGATCCATGTCAGGGTTTTTGATCCGACCTAGGGATGGGGAGTAGGCAACCTCTATGAGGGTTGGGAACATGCCACAAGGCTTTGAATGCCAAAAAACCTTGGCTGGCAGCAATGACATTTCAGAAAGGGTGATACTATTGTTCTTAATGTAAATCTGATCACACTGCTTCCCTGCTTAAAACCCTCTGATGATTTCCCTTATGCCCTGAAAATAAAGTCTAGAGTCCTTGCCTTGGCCTGCAGGATCCATATGATCTGCCCCCAACCCCTAATTCTCTGCAGTGGCACCAAGTCTTGCTCCACCTCAGGGCCTTTGCACAGCTGTTCCTGCCTGCTACCTCCACTCCTCCTCCCCTTTTGCCTTCAGCCCCCTCACAGGGAGTCTGCTGAGGCTGTGGGCTGTCTCCCAAGACCAGTACCCAGCAAGGGTCCCACTCTCCTAGTCCCCTTTTCTTTCATGGCACTGAGTACTATTTATAATCCTCGGAGTCATGCATTTTCAAGGGAGGCAAAAGTTGGTCCTTGGGAGAGTGAAAAAAAATCTTAAGTGTTAGAATTATTTGTGACCCTACAGGACAAAATCTGAATCCTTAGTATTGTATCTCTCATTAGGGAGAAATTAAATTTAAATAATTTAATTAATTAATTAATTTAATTGCTTAGCTGTAATTAAGCTTAATTAATTTACATGATTTAATTAATTCATTTAAATTTAATTTGCTGTTTCTCCTCAGAGAGCAATCATGAAAAAAAAGGTGGGAAACTGCTTAAAGCATTTGTGAGTTTGCTTTTGCTGAGTCTGAGGTCCTCTCTGAGCTCACAGAGGATAGCCGTGGCTTCAGTCCTGCTATAGCTTCAGTTCCAGAATGCTGCATGGCACACAGTAGGTGCTCAGATAACACCTTCACAGTGCCAAAACCTGCAGAGAACAACCCAGATGGCTCAGCTGTAGTGTCCATGCTGGTTCTTCTTTCCCTGGATCCTGTGGGCAGTGGGGAGCAATGGAAGACTTGGGAGCTAGCAAAGAACTTCCTGGGCTGGTGCACCCCCAACCAGAGATCGCAGCTGCTGCTGCCTTCCCTAGTCTTGCCACGAGGCGGGCCCAGGACAGGAATAGAGCAACCCACGGCTTCTGCAAGGCTGGAGGGGGTGGATGTAGCTAAACCCAGCTTGGCAGGTGGTTCAATTTGTGCAGGGCAGAGCCTGGGTTGCAGGTAGGGGGTGGTCAAGACTCCTAGGTTTGGGGGCCCACCCGGCTCTACCTCACTATCTGGCGAGCCTTGGGCAGGGCAGGTTTCTTGAGACTTTGCAACCTCCAGGAGAGCCCAACTGCACTGGGCATGAGGATAAACGAACTATGATAAACTTAGCACTGCTGATGTATATATAGACCCTCCCACCTGGTTTCCAAAAGGATTTGAAACAGATTTCACAAGAGGCAAAGAAATGAGCATTTAGAGTGTGCTGGAGTTTACACACGAGCCCTCACGTCACAGGCCCCAGGGAGCAGAATCAGGACAAGAAGAATCTCAGATGGCTCCAGGAAACCTGTCTGACAGAAATGAGCTCCCTGTCAGAGGAGGTATGCAAGCAGAGGCTGCAACCCCTGGCAGAGGTGTGACTGTGGAGGCTTCAGAACAGCCAGAGATGACACAGGCCCTACTTGCTCAGCCACCACTCTTGCCCACGGAGAAGCCAGGGACGTAACCCCAAGATAAAACTGGTGGAGGCAGCTGCTTCCTGGGGTCAGAGTTCCCCAGGGAATAAACCATGATTACAGTTCCTGGGAACCATTTTTGTCCTCAATGATGCCAGAAGCCCTATCCTCAGACACAAAGTGAGGCAGCCATTGTGGGGGTGACCCCTGTGCAGGTGTTCAGTTCCCAGTGTTGGTGCTGATTGCTGTATGGCCCTCAGCTGGCCACTTCCCTTCTCTAATGCAGAATCCCCAATCCATCCAATAATGGAGTTGCCTCACTCCTAGGGAGTCCTTCCGGTGTTGTCCCAGAATAATTAGAACTGCACTGGGCCTTCCTGGGTTAAGCACTGCACTATGAAGCAATCTGCAGCCTCTGCAGCATGAGTTCAATACCCAGCCAGCCAGGGAGCAACCCACATGCACAGTAGACCTCTCCTGTCTCACCCGCTGCTCCCCTCAGCAGTGTTATTTCACTCAATCTGCCTGTTCTGTTCCCCACTCTGTCTCTGGTGAATCCTCTCATCCCCCTGCATCTCTGGCCTGTACCCCAGCTCTTGTATACATAAATAAATGTCTTAAAAAAATAATTAGAACTGTACCCCCACCCCCACTTTGTCACAAAACTTGGCACAGTTGTGGCAGGGCCCACTCTCTAGACCCCACTGTTTTGATTCTGGGCTCAGCCTTGGGGCCAGAGTACACATTTCCTGTGCCTGCCCTTTTTCCTTTGTCATTGTACACCTCCTTCACACCAGGCTCTGAGAGATACACACATCCCAGTGCAAGAAGAGCTCCCAGTCTCAAGAGGCACAAGAATGTAAATGAAGAAATATGAAGGAAATAGAGCAGGCAAGGGGATTGAGTGGCAGGATAGGTGGGAGGCCTCTCCGAGGAGGCATGTGAGCAAAAACATCCCGAGCCGGCCAGGAAGTCACTTTGTGGGTAGGGAGAGATGTGGCTGATGGAAGCCTTCAGGGAAGAGAAAACAGCTAGTGCAAAGGCCCTGAGGCAGGTCTGGCTTGGTATGTTTGAGCACTGATGGTTGAATGCAAGTTGCTGAGGGGAGAATGCTGGAGAGAAGTTGGGGAGATGGGCTGGCGTGAGTATTGTGGACCATCTGGGGATGGAGAAGTCACAGCAAAATACTGGAAGAAGAGATGCTGAACTAATATTTAACAAGGAAGGCTGCCTTCTCTGACCTCCAGAAGGGAATCCGCCAAGTCCTCCCTTTGAAGCCAAATATCCACTCCAAAGAGGCATGAATGCTGCATCTTTAATGCTGCATCATTAATGCTACCTGATGAAGAGGCTGACACGGCTATAATTGAAACAGAAAGTCCATGGCCCCTGCCATCTGTCTATCAGTCCTGGAGACTCATTAGCCCCAGATCTGCCCTAGGCACCCACCCTGCTACCTGCAGGGAAATGGAGACATGCCACTCAGCCAAAGGGCCAGGCTGGACCCTGTGCTCTGGTCCCAGACTGCACCCTGACATCAAAGCACAGACATCAGACAGGGTTAGGGATAGGGGGCCCACCCACCTGGGCAAAAAAAGGAAGGTGGTGGGCCCTCCCTGAGTTCATAGGTTGTATAAACTGTGAAGGCCTGGAAACCAGGCATGTTCTCTAAATGTCAACAAGACCTGCACACTACACTGGCTTTCCCCACTTGGGTCCTTGGACACCCTTTGTAAAAGTTGTAGGGTCCCCTAAATGGAAACTGTACAAAACAATTGGTGTTTGTACTAATGTGGGAATCTGCAAAGGCTGAAGGGCTTTCTAATCTTGCCAATGCTTATAAACTGTAAACTATTTGGTAAACTAGAAAGTGTTGTGTAATCCTATGGAGGGCTTTGCAAATTGTAAATGACTTCGTAAACTGTTTCGTAGAGGACCATACACTGCAAAGCCCTTTGTAAACTTACGGTTCTGTAAGCTGCGGAGTCATTGCCAGCTGTAGAGGGCTGTGCACTCATGTCAATCAGGGGATGAGTCAGGCCTCCCGCCCTTTTACCCAACATCAGCGTTTGCATGGAGGGAGGGGCAGGTGCACGCGGCCAGCACAGAACCAAGCTGAGAGGGTACCAGCTCCACGCAACTCCCGGCCCACCAGAGACCCCCACCCTAGGACACAGGTTCTATAGACCTGCAAATGCGGGTGTAGGGAGAGGGCGGGGTAGTATGCTCCGGGACCGGGCGGGGCTCCGGGGACAAGGGGTCAAAGTCGGGGCTCTGCCGCCTCCTGGTGGCTGCAGGAGAAGCAACTGAGGCCACGCCCCTGGTACTCTGGGCCAGTAGGACTTGTGGGTGCTCTGGCATGCATGCACGCACTCACAAGCCGCCCATCCACACACACACATGCACACACTCATGCAAGCACCTACACGCCATGGAGGACTTCGGGATCCATTCATTCCCTCATCTTTTCTTTCAGGTAGACATTCATTCTTGCTTTCATTCAGGAAAGTTTGCCAGCCCTCTCCCTAGGTGAGTGCACTGGTGGCACAGAAGTGGCAGGTCAAATCTACCGGGATAAGCAGATAAAAATGAGCTAGACTGCTTGTTGTACCAAGTGGGGTGAGCCCTCTCTGAGCAAGTAATGTTGGGGACCAGGAATGGGAGGAGGGGTTCCAGGCAGAGGATAGTCAGTTCAAAGGCCTGAGGATGAGAACAAGCCTTCATGATGGAGGAAGGGGCATAAAAGCACCTAGAAGCTAAGTGACACACCAGGGAAGGCTTCAATGGCAGAGGTCTGTCCCAGACTCAGGTCTATTTGAGGACAGGTTGGACTGAGGATGGTGGGAGTGGTGGGCAGAGGACGGATGGACCCCCAGGGGGATCTGTGCTCTTCTGGTAACCTGCCCCAATTTCCCTGGAAAACTAGGGAGGCCCTACTCTCAGACCTTGAGTCAAGGCCCTCTTGCATGTTTGACCCTGTGGCTGTAATGAGCTTAGTATTTCAGTTGGAACCTGGGCCCTTTGCTAAGATGGTGTGAGTCACCAGGTTCTGTCTGCTCACATGAGGGAAGTATGAAACTGAGGTGGAGAAAACAGCTAAGGTGAACACAAGTTCTTCAGGTACCTGGATCCAACTGTGCCTGAAGCTAGACAGTTCTTATGACATGAACAAATAAATTATCTTCTGCTTCAGTCTGATGGCAGAGGGTTTCTGCCCCAGTCCAGGCCATCAAGATCACAGAGGCAGACTGGACCCTGGCAAGGTTGGGCCTTCCTCAAGCTGCCTCTACTCCCCTCAGAGCTATCTCCAGGGGGTTGCTATCTTGGAGATATACCCAAGCCTCAATTTCTCCATCTTACAAGTCGTGTAGCTTTGGACAAATTTCTTTGGCTCTCTGGATCTGTTTTCTCTGTAAACTATGGATAACATAACAACCTGAGGTAACAATACACTCAATGAGGTGACAGTGTCAAGTCCTGAGTGTAGTGTCTGGTCCATGACCATTGCTCTGTCCCTCTGGCTATCACTACACTTCAATGACAGAGAGACAGGTAGCCCACTGGTGGACTGGGCTAGTGCCACAGTCTAGCAGAGAGTCTGGAACCTCACCACAGCCCTCCATGAGTCTAAGATCCTCCTATGTCAAAGGATTTGGCAAGTGCAAGGCCTGATAGGTCACTAGGCCCCCATCCCCTGGTCATGCTGCTCTGGTCCTGTCCCAGGGGCAGAAAGTCCTTCTAGAAGCCAGACCTTCCCTGAGGAAGGGCTCGTCGCTATGACATACAGTCTCACACAACCTTTTGTCCCATGTTTGTTTTGTTTTTTTTTTTTGTTTTTTTTTTTTTTGTTTTTCTAAATTAAAACAGCAATCAGGTAACTGTCTGAACCCATCGGGGATAAGACCCAGAACGGGCACAGTCCTTTCTTTCTTCAAAAAATATATTTTCTTTTTTTTTTTTTAAACAACACCAAAAAGCAAGTCCACAGCCCCTGTTGCGCCAGCCCCCAAGAAGAGTGAGCTGGACGTTTCCCCAGAACGTCTCTGAGCAGAGACCTTGGGTACATCCCCCTAGATCCCAGCCTGAGCAGAAAGGGCGGGTCACTGCCTGCTGGTCCCTAGTGGGTGGAAGAAAAGTGATCAGCTCCAAACCATGCAAGAAAAACTGCCAAACCCAGAAAGCTAAAGGGAAAAAAAAAATTGAAAGGATAAATTAAAAAAACAAAAAAGTGAAACAACACCCTGGAGGTGGAGGGCTGGGCTGTAACCCAGGTCCCTTAGAAGCCCTGTTTGCCAGTGTGGGGTGAAGGCCTTGGGTGGCTCCTGGTAGCTCCCTAATGGGAATCTCAGGGGAATTCACATGGCTCATCCCCCTCTTGTGTCCTGCCCCCTGATGCTGGAACAGAGGTGTGGCTGGGCCCCCTGGGCCAAAGTGTGCAAAGTCCATTCAGTCAAGAGATAAAAAAATATACAACTTGGTGGCATCCAGGGCTGGTGAAGGCAGTGGCTGCACACAGCAGCGGCTGCCTTGTCTGCCAAGGGCAGCAGCATATGACAAGGTCATCCAGGCCCCTCCAAGTCCAGGGTCTTGGGGGCTGGAGACTTGGGGTCCTTGGAGCAGCAGGGAGAGAGGCACTGGCAGGACCCACATGGGCCTGGCTGGGGACCCCCAATGGTCTGCTTCTTTGGCACTTGGGAACAATGGCCTGTTGCTGAGCAGAACGGGAGTAGCCCCCTTGATTCCTCCTGATGCCCAAGGCCAGGTGGCAGTAGCTTATGGATGTGGGCAAGCACTGCCCGGCAGAGGAGGCCATGGGCTCTGGAGGGCGGAGTGGGGTCCAGGCCCCGGCCCCTATGAGTCCTCTCCCAGGATCTCCTTCACAAAGGCAGCGATGTCTGTCTTCTTAGTTTTGTGCAAGGTGAAGAAAGGGTGCTCCTGGGGGGATAAGGAAAGGCATTCACTTTGGATGGATGGTGAGGGGCAAAGTAGAGATGCTCCTGCCTCCCTAACCCAGCCTAGCTCCTATGAGCTCTCCCACCTGGGATACCCTGCTCCTGCCTGGCAAACTCCTACCCATCCCTCGAGGACCTCCACCCCCAGAAAGCAGTCCTTGTGAGAAACTGTTGAAGATTTCCTCCTTGGTCTTCTGCAGCCTTCTTCCAGCCACTCATCACACATTTCCCCACAGGTGCCAGGATGCTGGCTAGGGCTTTCATGTGGAGTGCCCTCTCCACTCTCGCCATCAGCAGGTTAACCCGTCCTTCTAGGACAGTTCAAATGCCATCTCCTCTATGAAGCCTTCCCTGATGCCTTCAAAAACAATGGTCCATCTGCCCTCCCACCAGCTTCCCCTTCTGTCATAGCACCGCCTGTGTGTGCCTTCACAGGGGTGGGTGTGGAGGAAGATGAGGGAGCCAGGAGCACAAGAGTGATTAAGTCCCTAAATCAATCAGTACTAGGAGCCACCCCTGCCCGGAATTTGTTCCTACCACACACTTACCATCAGTTCCAGGTAGCTCATACGCTCTGCAGGGTTCTTCCTTAAGCTAGGAGAGAACAGGGCAGGCTGGGGCAGGCTGGCATGGAGGAGTGAGCGCCAGCCCTGCAGGCTGGGCTCACCCATGACCAGACAGCAAGGGGAACACATGCATTTGAGGCTGAGGAAGAAGGGACAGGGCTCTTCTCGGGGGCAGAGTAGGAGCCTTGGGTGCACACTACAAATCTGGGACTGACTCTCTGTGTCTCGGGATCTTAGCTTTCTTGTCTTGTCTCTACAATAATCTACAGAATTCCTAGTGGTCCTAATACAGAAATGACACTAAAGTGGCACAATTTATAACCATATACTTGGTATCCTTAATCATTATCCTGGTTTCTGGAAGAGGAGAGGCCCACATTAAAAAATGACTAATAACTCTGTCTGCCACATTCATTTTCAGTCTTTCTTATTTGCTGATAATGAAACAAAGGCTCTGAATTTTCCTTAGTATCTCTTTGTCCACAACACACAGCTGTTGATACGTCATGTTCTCATTGTCTCACTATTGGAGAGTTGTGATTTTATTTTACAAATCTCATTAGTAATCCAAGGGTTATTTTAGAAGAAGTTACTTATTTCCATGTAGCTTTTTCCTCTTTAGTATTTTACTTAACTACGATCAGAGTACATGGTCTGTGTGAATTTGCCTTTTTTCTTTTTCCCAATTTATTTTGCAACCTCAAACACAATTAACTTTTAGAAGGTTCTCCTGGCCATCTTTAATTTGGTCAAAGTTCTAACTGTCAATGAAAGCAAGTTTGTTTGTTATGCTATTCAAATCTTCCACTTGCTTTTGTTTTCTTTTTCAGTCTGCCTAGACTATTCATTTCTAGGACTATATTAAAATATCCCCCAAGGACCACAGTTTGTCAAATTTACATATTTTAATGCTTTGCTATTTGTTAAAGGGCACAGGGCCAGAAGGAGCTAGAATGTGGCCAAGACAAGGGGTACAGAGTAGGGTGCAGGGAAGCTCTCGAAACTTACCACTGTGCAGTGAAGTCCACAAACTCAGGGGAGAAACGGTCAGCTGGGAGCTGGGGGGATGGCTCCTCCACCACCTGCTTCAGCTGCTGGAACGGGGTTCCCCAGGACTCATATGGAAACCGGAGAATGGCCATCTCAATCTGCAATGTGGACAGTGGCATTAGTCAGGTCCCCCAATTCCAAGACACACTCAAACTCTACAGCTGGATGCAGGACATCTGAAAACCTGCCACCCTGGTCCAGGGTCCAGAGCTGGGCCACAAGGCAGGTCAACGGTGACACGTGACATAGAGTGAAGACAAAAACTAGGGGGACACCAGTAGTAAGTTCCTTTGACCCAGCCAGATCTAAATTGTCATTGGTTTGACATCATCAGATTTTCAAACAATCTGAATTCAAAAGATTTTATATAAAAACCTAGGTTCTAGTTAATCTGGAAAAGTCAGGGAAGGTGATAACCCTGAGTCACTTTTCCACAGGCAGCAGTCACAAAGCACCTCACATAGATAACAGCTTTCCTGCTCACCACAGGCCACTCCCCTCCCTAATGTCTCTGTACTGTCTTAAGCATCTGCCACCATTTATTTGGGCCACTGTTACAGAGGAGGCAAAAGGGAACAAAGTGATTCTCATATACTTATCTCTCCCAACCCTGGAAGGACTGTTAGACCAGGAGGCCCACAAACCATAGGCATTCTTCACTTCCAGCAACAGCCTACCTATCAGTAAATGACATTTGCAGCCCCTCCTCAGTAGAGCCCTAACTGCTCACCTACCAGTATCCTATGAGGCCTATCACCAACGCCTCTTCCTCCAGAAAGCCTTCCCAGCTCTACCCTATCACTTTTTTCTTCTGAACACCCAGGACACAAGGCCATGGTGGTCTCATCACTCCTGCTGGATCTGGACCTCCCCAAGAGACATCGGAGTCACTTGGCCTCTGCACCCAAGCCAGGCACTAACCTCACCTGCAGCTGGTTGGAAGTCATTTGTGGAAAAAAATGGCTAACTTATGACAAATTCCGAGTTCCAATTTTGACTTCAAGATGGAAAAAAAAAAAAACCAAATCAGGTCAGCCCAGGCCCCTGCCTGGAATAGCAGAGGCCTCATACTGACAGGCCATAATCACCGTAATGAACGGAAGAGACCTCAGCTCAAACAAATGCAAAGTGTTGGCAACCAGTGCCTGAGCAGATCACTAATTATTGTGCTAGAAAGGGCCTTCCCATTAGGCTAAAGACCCCTTTCCAGCAAAGACATAAACACACGCCACAGATGGAGGAGCTGACAATGCAGTGGGGGTGGTGTCATCCTGTGTGTGTATATGTGTGTGCGTGTGCCTGTGTTTTCACAGGGCAAATACAAGGCACTCTTTCCTAGAATTTTCATGATTCCATCATGCAGAAGTGAAGGCTCTGTATGGGACCCAAAGAAACCAGCAGCCAACCAGAATTTATTATCAGGAAAACAGAAAAGTATCTGAACCCTTGACCTAGTGATGCTTTTCCTGGTGATTTTTCTAAAAAGCCCAAAAGGATGAAAAACAAAACCAAAAGCTACTTCTGGGCACAAAGATGCATGGGGTGGTGTTATCTGTAATAGCAAATAGTTAGAAGCAGCCAAACTGCCCAGCGCCAGGGAACTGGCCCTGTCACAGGGCTCAGCTGTGACTGTGTCACAGCCTGTCATACCCCAGTCATGTGATCCACACATGGTCGATGCTCATTAAGGCCGAGAGCCTGCCCGGATCTTATTCCTTGTCCATGCTGGGTCATGCCCTTATGGGTCTGAGTCTGGTTGCAGTCAAGGGTCTGCTGACAGCCACCCAGGGTTGACTCACCAAACCTGGAGGGAGACTGCCAGGAGAGCACCACCCAAGGGGGCTTCACTTTGGAAGCCTCTCAGGGCTTTCCCAGACCCTCACTCCCAAGAGAGGGAGGGATTTCACACTGAAAGAAAAAATCAGACACAACCAGAGTGGGGACTAGGTGGTAGATGGCAATAGATGGCAGCAGATGACGGTAGTCTTTAGAAGAGAGACGCCTACAGGAGATTACAACAACCCAGAGAAATATGGATGATATGATGCTTACTGGAAAAGAAAAAATAAAAAATTATATGTTTTTTAAAAAGTCTAGTGGAAATTTATAATGTTGGCAGCTGACAACAGGGAGGATAGGGCATATGTCTTTGAGAGGAACAACTATGGGGTTTTTCCCCTTTTAGTTTCTTCTGTGTTTTTATATTGTATTTACATTGTTTAATATGTGTTTCTATTGCCTGTGCTTATATTGTTACTTTTGTAACCTGTGGGGGGAAGTTAACCAGTACTAAGGGAGCTATCTCCTAGGCCAGAGCAGCCTTCTCCCAAGTGCGCCTGCCAGTCTATCTTCCCTGGAAACTTCCCTTTGACTGTGACTAGCTCTGACCAACACAATGAGGTGGAAGTCCAGTCGGAGCCTCACACCTCTGAGCCCTCTCCTGGTGGAGGGGCCCCCATAAATATGTCCACCACCCTGATACCACCATGCTATGAGGAAGTTCTGTGCTGCTATGCCCACCCCAGAGCCGGCCCCACCCCTCAGGACCTTTTTACAGACCCCTTCCCACCATGTATGTCACTGACTGGGATTACTGACGTACCCCAACAACACCAAGAAGCCAGAGGCACTGGGACAGGGAGTGTGCTGACACCGTGAAAATATCAAGAATAGATCTACCCTGACACTCCCCTATCAGTCTTGATCATGGGGGTGTGGTGGGGGGGCCAATGGCCACTCAGGCTGTGTCACTTGGGTTCTCCCATGCTGGGGGCTAGATAGCAATGATTCCCAGGTGCCCAGATCTCATGTACAGCTTCTAGCACAGGTTGGGGGACTGGTATCCCAGTGGTTCCCTCCAGTCCATCCTTACATAGCACTTATACTATGTTCTACATAACTAACAACCCAGGCCCATACCTTGGGGAGCCCTGGCCCAGGTTGGCAGTTGGGGGGGGGGGCAAGGGGGTGCTGCTGGGAAGTTCTAGAAAGAACAAGAGGCATACAAGCCCAGTCCTACCCCTGAATCTCAGAGGCACCCACTGCAGCTGGCTGGGGGCCAGAACCTGCCCCCAAAGGCCCAGAAGTAGAGCCCCACCTCTCCCACTACACCTGGGACCTAAGACAATATACTTCTTGCGGTGAAAAAAATTGTGAAGGTCCATACCATTTTGCCTTTGAAATCATTTGCATACAGGGGCTCACTGCAAGTGCACTGGCTGTGATTTCCAAACACACATCACATAGATTACCACAGATGTGAGAATTGCTGTGAGGGCCACACCTCACCCCTGAAGAATACAATGTTCCCTGTAGCATCCCCTTAAATATCACTATTAAGGACACATTTTCTTCTCAGATTTTGGAGCCAACACATTTTTCCAGGGTCTAAACTATCTGACACTCCCCAAAACCTCAGGGACCCAGGCACAGCCCCTTGGCCCCACCTGACCAGCAGAGTCAGCCCTGCCCCAGGTGGTACCATGGTGATCCCGAGGCTCCAGACGTCAGACTTGACATTGTAGCCCTTCTGGTTCAGCTCAGGGTTGATTCTCTCTGGCTGTAACAGGAAACAGAGAGGCATCAGTACCCAACCTCAGAGAAGAAACCCAAATCTTCCCCAGCCAGATCTTGCCTCCTCCACCCCAACATTGAGGGGTCATCCTGTCCCACCTCCCCATGGCACACATGAGGAAACTGAGGGCAGAGAGGGCCAGGTTTCTGTGCTGATGACCCAAATCTTGCCTCGCAGCTACCCTCTCCCAGAAAGGAAGGTTGGTGGGGTGTCCCCACCTCAGGACACTGGGGAGGGGCCGCATCTTGCACAAACTTCACAGTTACCTCTACTAATTTTAACCACAAAATTATTCATCCAAAGGGGTTTTCTGGAGGTGCCATTAACAACAGATGAAAGGAAGCTGTTGGGCAGGCTGGGCAGCAGGTTGCCCCTCTATGGCAGGAAATGTGGAGACTAGGGAGGCCATGCCCTCACAGACAGAAGACACGCCAGGGTGGCCAAGGCCTGGCAGTTTCTCCTCAGGGACCACTCACAGCCATGTAGGGCTTGCAGCCAGCATCCATCGTCTTGGCCACAGAATCCACCAAGTAGCCGCTGATCCCAAAGTCGCACATCTTCACGTGGCCCTCCTTGTTGATGAGGACGTTGGATGGCTTCACATCTGCAAGGACAGATCCACTTTTTTCAGCTCCCAGCTGTGGAGCCCCCCAGAGGCCTGCTAGCTCCTCCCAAGCCCCCTGGCTCAGGGGGTTATAAGGGAGACTGAGGTCACGCAGTTAGGGTGGTGCAGCCCAGGGAACTCCAGCCACTAGCCAAGAGTGGGGAAGGAAGTCAGGGCTCGGTGCTCTATCCCAGGCCTGAGACTCTCCACCAGCAGCACTCTGGATATGAGGTCCAGAGGGCAAGGCAAGTCCCAATTGTGCAGACTCACAGGGAGGCCAGACTCCACCTCCTATATAACCTGTTCTCTGGGGTCCTCCCTGACTGGAGGGTCGGGGCATAACTGGATGAGAATCTAGAAACCATCCAAGTGTCCACACTGAGGATGGGCAGGTTTAGCCAGAAAGTCCAGCAGCTAAAACACAGGAGGCAGATCTGATGTGAACACTGAGTCTGCTCCACAACAGAGCAGGAGGCAGGCAGGGCGTACAGCAGGGAATCTTCCCGCAAACGCACACCCAAAACACATGCACTACACATGCATTCGATGGGGCTAGAAGTATGGATATAAATACACAGATGGAACAGAAGATTCCAGGCCAAAATGCAAACAGAGGTGACCTGGAGCAGAGGCTGGGACACCACCAAGTGGTCAAAGGACTCTTAGTCTAATTAACTCTCTAAATAGTAGTGTATCTGGGTAAGTGAACTGCTCAGCATGGAAAATGAAAGAACATGGACATACACAACCCACTGCATCTCTTAAGTACTAGGTCAGAGGAAAGAGGCTGGACAGAGAGCACATACATGCTGTGAATCGTACGTGTGAAGCTGAAGAACAAGCAAAACCAACCTACTGTGGAAAAATCAGAGGTATGGTCGGGGGACAGAGATAGACCAGGGAGGACTAAGGAAACTTTCTGGAGTGGAAACATCCTGCATCTCTCAGGGACGGATTATATAAACTGTGATCAGATTCACCAAATTGTACATTTCATTTCACAACACGTAAACTACATGTCAAACAAAACTAGTCAGCCTTCCCATAACAAAAGCCAATTCAGTCCTGGCTCCAAGGACCAGCAAACCTAAAGGTGGAGGCTGGACTGGGAGCAGACCAAGATAGTGGCCTGGAGAAGTCAGAAGTGGTTGGACTGGGAAGCAGGCAGGGCTTTGGACCCCTCAGGCCTGGCACAGCTCATCACCCTGAGCTTCAATGGACTCATCTTGAAATCTCATCCTCCCACCAAGCAGACCCAGGTAAGTCCACGTGTGTGAGTCTTCTGTTTCTGCCCCTGCAAACCTTCCCCTAAACAGGCCAGGCACTGACCTCTGTGGATCACAGACAGCTTGCTGTGCAGGTGCTCCAGGGCCCTCACGATCTAGTGTTGGGATGGGAAGAGACAGACAGGACAGATGTAAACCCAGCTGCATCATCAACATGGCCGTAAGACAGCCCCCAATCCCTGTCCCATCCCGACCATGTCCACCTGTCTTCTCTCCTACATATACACCCTTATTACCCAAGGTTTCTGCCCACATGCCAGCACTCAGCCCTGTGTCCTGGCAGCCCTGTGCCAACACACACAACTGCTCCTTCATTCCCACCCAAGTGGCCAGGGTCTCATGCCCAAAACTATACTAGGAATACGATGTATCCACCCAAGACCCCTGGCAAAATCCTAGACTTGTGAGCCCCAGAGCGGGCATCAGCACCCCCTACCAGACTCCTGGATACAAAACAGTCCTTCTGCGGTTCCCTGTCACTTCATCCCTCCCCTAAGCAGAGCCAGCAGCCTACATGCTTGGAGTCATTTCCTTCAGGAAGACACACTGATGGAGCCTGAGCAATAATCCCAAAGGTGCTGACTGAATACTCCCGCATGGGTATGTTTTAAATGCTCCCCAATGCAGTCAGCTTGGAGAACCACTGTTATAACTGATTCCATTTCCTATTTGGTTCTGACTACTAGGTGCTCGAGCCAAGGGTTGCTGCCCTCCTCTAGGAACGTTCAACCTCAAAAGGTGAGCATTTTGGGTTTTTTTGGTTTTTTTTTAAATTTTATTTTTATATTCCCTGTACAATTGCAACCCCCTTATTTTGACCCCAATCCCTTCTATCCCTTCTTTCCCTGCCCCCCCCCATTAGTGTGTCTCTGGTTCATAGTTGTTTGTTGATTTTGATTTTTTCTTTCTCATAGTTATTCTTTTCCCTGGTCCCTTATTTAGGTTTTCTAGTTTCCTGCTATGAGTGAGACTATCTGGTATTTTTCATTTTCTTTCTGGCTTATTTCACTGAGCATGATCCCTTCCAGCTCCATCCACATTGCTGCAAATTGCATGTGTTTATCTTCAAAAGGTGAGCATTTTGGACACTAACTTTTTCCCCAACTTAGCTTATTATACCTCTGTGAGCTCCCACAGGACAGTTTTAATATGATGAAACTATGAAATTCTTTTTGGGAGTTACATGTGAAGACCTAGCGCCCCTGAATCTGCCAAATCTTTGTGGTTTTAGGGTCTCCTCAGCAAGATGATCAGGTCCAGGGTAAGGAAGCTGGACCTCTGGGGATAGTCCCCAGGTTCAGGATCACACTGGGGCTCAGCCCTGCCCAAGAGACCAGCATCAGGTCAGACTCAGTGCTGGCTGCAGCAGGGCCGAGGCACGGGCTTCATAATGGAAACCACAACCCTGTCCAGCCCGAGGCTACTTACAGACACAGCGATCTCCCCCAGAATGTCCTCTGGAATCGTCATGTTCTTATCCAACACCTTCCGGTAAAACTTGTCCAGGGACGTGTCCATGAGCTCCATACAAATCCACACATCTCCCTATGGGGGACACCCACAAGTCATCCTGGGTCACCCAGAGCTGCAGCTATGCTCAAATGGTCTGCCCTGGTGCCTGTTTCTTCCTGCACCCACAAGGCCTCTCAAACACATTTACTACCCCATCAGGCAGAGGTATCTTCTGAGATGTCAGCTCCTCCCACTCTGCCCCCCAAATCTCTCATTCTGCCTGCCTCTCCCTTCCAGCCTTATCTGAATTGCTAAGTCCATGAACCAGGCTCCCTTGCTTTATCACCTCTGGTCTCCCCCATCTGATCCCTAATTCCACAGCAGTTTCTACAGAGAAATGACTAAAATTCACACGTGACAAGGTCCCTCCAACAAGGGCTTTCAGGATCCGGTCTCAGCATATTGATGCAGCCCTGTGGACCCCTCCTGCCTCAGCTCCTACAGCCCCAATACACGGGGCTCATCCCAGCTCTGATCTGGGGTGGGTCCCTCCTCCATCTGCAATGCTCTTGCCAGTTCCTGCCCTCTGTTCCCCAGCAATATCCTGTGTACCCTCAAGACAGCCATCCGAAAGGCTGGGTGTGGCCTCTCCTTGGGGTAGCAAAGGCACCTGAGTTTCCTGACAGTGCTGACCCAGGCGAGGCCCAGGTGTGCCTCTGTCAACCCAGCACCAATGACAGTGCTCCTGGCACACAGTTGGTACTCAGCCAATCAGATAAGTAGGTGACAAAGCGCTGACTCACCTCTGGAGTCCCTGCACCCAGCTAACTCAGGGAACAAGTAAGTGCTGAGGAAGTGAGCACAGGCAAAGGGAGCCCTGGTGTGTAGGTAGCAAATCAACATATAAAACCAGCATATCCACCCTGTGCTCCTGGCTCCATCCACACCCCACACTAGCCCTTCATGACACCTGAGTCAAGTCAGCAGGCACCCATCTTCTCACTCTGAAGGCCACCCTCCCTGATATCACCCTTGACTCCTCTCTCACCCTGCATTCAGTCCTCTCAGTGGACCAAGTCCAACGCTCACCCACTTCCACCCCATACCTGCTCTGAGCTCCAACCTGCAGGAAATCCTGGGCCTGAGCTCTCAAGTGCCTGGAATAAGTCAGGGCTGCAGGCTAGACAGAGGGGGCAGGTTTGCAGATACAAGGCAGGTCGGGGACTGTTTGAGCTCCCAGACCAGCACCCACCTCCCACCCTTCAGCCAGGGCCGCACCTCTCTGAAGAGGGCCCCATAAAACGTGACAGTATAGAAGCAGTCGACTGTGCGCATGTTGACGTCCAAGTCCATGAGCAGACGCTTCTGCTCCTGCGAGTTCACGGTGGCCCGGATCCGCTGCAAGGAAGAAGGTTGCAACTCAGATGCCAAGAGGCACAGGGCGAACCACCCCACCCCCATCTTTTATATGAACAGGCCAGGAGCTGAGGGACACCACAGGTAGGCTCAGCCCACACACCTCCTCCAGGCAATCCCACAGTGTCCCCCAAGCCAGGGCTCTCTGGACAGATGGGGCTGGGGCAGGGTGAGGCCATGCTTACCTTAACAGCCATGATGGTTCCACTCTGGGCATGCCGCACCTTCTCCACCACCCCATAGGCTCCACGGCCCAGCTCTGATATGGTCACCAGGTCATCAGCCTCCACCTCAAAGTTCTTAGGGGACAGAAAAAAGAGGGGGTTGATGGCGGGCAAGTCAGAAACCAGCCCTCACACTTGGTCCCATGGAGACAGCTGGGGCAGCAGAAAGAAAGGAGAGCCAATCAGTCAGACTTGGGCTCAAATCCTGCACAAGCTACTTCCTACTGTGTGACCTGGGGACACATCACTCAACCTCTCTGAGCCTCATGTTGCCGCTATAAAACAAGCACAGCACCAATGTCCAGGGGCTGTTATGAGGTATAAACAAGAGGACTTGTGAATGCCCCAACCAGCACAGAATCCCTAGAGGTGCACTGTCCCTCCTCCACACCCCACTCAGGGGACTGACTGAATCATTCATTCATTCACTATTTGTTGAGCACCTACCATGTGAAATTCCCTTTTTTAGGTACTGGGGATGCAGAGAAAACAGAACTAGAGTCTTGGACTCACAGGGTCCACTCACAGGGAGCAGTATAGCCCTGGACAGCCTGCTCTCCATCCTGCTCTCTATTACAAGAGGCAGACAGAAAAGCAACATGTAAGTTGACAAATGGGACATCTAACAGTGGTGTTAGGGAAGAGACAGAAGCCTGGGAGAAGGCCCTACAGTGGGGTCTCTGCCTAGAGACCCTGGGACTGTCCTGTAAGTGATGCATGGTGCCCGAGCAGGATTCTCAGTCACTGGTATCCACTGGAGACACATGTGCAATGCAGCTTCCTGGACACAAGGCACAGGGTTTGCTCCAGGTCTAGGTAAGGCCAGGGTACATTCAACACTCTGTTCCTATAGGTGATACAGGGACAGGTGGCTCCATGATCCATACTCTGAGGCTGGGAGATTTTATGCCAGCTCTGGCTCACCAGATCCCACAAGATTGGCCACTGTCCCTATTCTAGACATGAGGGTCAGAGAGGCAATGCACAGGGTTCTACAGCATCCAGGAAGCAGCGCTCCAAAGCCCAGCTATGTCCACCACCTCAGCCACCTCCCATGGCCTCCGGGATTAGCTTTGCCCACTTATCAAAGAAGACACCGAGGCTCCGAAACTCAATGGCCCTGCTCAGGGTACGTGGAGAGTGCCTACCCTGTCTCCAATGGTGATGAAGGTCCGGGAATCCAGGTTCCGGGGAGGTCTGGGGGAGAAAGCAGATCCTGTGAGCCTCAGAGTGAACTAACCCTTCCCCCAACAGAAGGAGCAATCCAGTCTGGGCTCCTGGCTCCATCCACACCCCACACTAGCCCTTCATGATGCCTGAGTCAAGGTAGCCGGAGGGACATGTCTGCTACTCCTCATCTCATCAGACACTGAGCATCTGCTGTGACAGGCACTCAGTGTCACAGGATGTGCCAGGGCCTCGCCCTTCCATTCTGAGATGGTGAGAGGACAGAGCATAGCTATGCAGTGCCTGTGAGTCCCCATGCCACCGTGCCACTGCTGCCCCTGCCTGCTCCCCTCCATTGGGGCCTCTTCCAGAAGCCCCTCCATGCTGAACCAGGGAGAAACTGAGGCAAACTCACGTGGGGTTGGGTGTGGGTGGCTTAGACACACAGGATATCCGTAAATCCTTCTTCCTCTTGGACTTTGCTAAAAGAGAGAGAAAGTGAGGCATCAAATCCATGCTCAGTTAATCAGAGTCCCCTGGATTCCCCGTAGGCTGGACAGAGATGACTCAGGTCCCCTGCCTTAGAGGGACCCCAGACACAGACACAGATACCTGAGGGTCAGTGTGATCAGTGCCATGCCAGGATCCCAAGACCTCCTGGGCACCCAGATGATGTGCCCACCCGGGATGGAAGTAACCACGCTCTGCCAGCCCTCCTGGAAGCTGCCCATGGGCAGTCACCCCACGGCTGCCCGAGAAAAGAGTGCACCTTCGAGGAACCTGATCGATCCATTGTGACCTGACCACACAGGGCACCCAGCGGATGGCCACTGAGCACCCACCTCAGGTGGATCACGTCTGAGCAGCCAAGGTTTGCACCAAGACTCAGGATGCCCATCCTGAGGCACCCTGTACAGAAGTGCTATGTCCTGGATTTCTATTACAGGCTGAGGTTTGTCTCCTGGAAATTCGTGCATTGAAGTCAAAGCTATAGTCTCTCAGAATGTGGCCTTATTATGAAATAGGGCCTTCCCCGAGGTGACTAAGTTAAAATGAGGTCATTAGGGTGTACCCTAATCCTACATAATGGAGTCTTAAAAAAGGGGAAATTTTGGACACAAGCAGGCACAGAGGGAAGACGATGTGCAAGCCAAGGAGGCCTGGAAAGATCCTTCCCTGACATCTCAAAAGGAGCCAGCAGCCTTGTTGACACTTTGATCTTGGGCTTCCAGCCTCCAGAACTACAAGACAGTGTCTGTTGTTTAAGCCCACGTGTGGTGCTTTATTCCAACAGCCCGAAGAACCTGCACAGCCTCCATCCCCACCTGTGGCACTTAACCTTGGTGGGTGCATCTGGGGCAGACAAAGCTCCTTTCAGGTCCCAGCTCTGCTGAGCCTCAATTTCCCCCAACTGTCATGTTGGCACATAGGCACCCTCCACAGGGTGGCTTCAGGAGGCTTGCAGCAGAAGGAGGTTGGGGACCCATGGCCAGAGCAAAACACTGGGTTGGGTCTTGGTGGGCATCACTCACAGCGCAGCCCATGATCCATGGCCAGAAAGGGCAGGGTAGAGAGCAGCGGGATATGCACAGGCAAGCTTGGCCCTTCTCAGCCTCAGCTTCCCCAACTGTGTAGTAGGACACTAACACTGAAGGGGGCACTTGTGGGGAGAAATACAAGGATGAAAGCAAGGACCCAACACAAGGCAGATGGCTCCTTTCCATGACCCTGCCTATTCCAGAGGCCCCCACACTGACCCACTCACTGCTCAGATCAGAAAACTGAGGCCACAAAGAGAAGCAACCCAGGCCAAGGTCAAAACAATGTGTCAGAGCTGGGCTGGGACATAAGCCCAGATTTGCGGCTCCCATAGACCATGTGCTTTCTAGGGCAACACAGGGCGTGCTGAATGCCTTCATGTCTCCCCTGGACAGCAAGGGCCGGCAAGGTAAATTCCAAGCCGCTACCTGAGAACAGGAACAGAGGTGCTCTGGGTCTCATGTGCTCCCAAAGCTACTGTTTTGGTGGCTGTGCCAGGGTCACCTCCCTCCACCTTGCCCATGGTACAGAGGGGGGACATGGAGTCACCCCATATACAAAGCCACACCTGAAACTACAGCATCCTCCCAACAGCCCTGTACCTCCACATCAGGTTGAGAGGTGAGAGTGGGTTGCCAAGGGGCTCCACTTCTTGGGAAAAGGGGAGGTAGGTCTACCAGGACAGCCAACACCAAAGCAGGGCATCACCCCTGTCCACTGTCCCGCACATCTCAGAGCTCTCTAGGCCTCCGTTTTCCCATCTGTGTGCAGTGCCGCTCCCCAGCCCTGCTTGCCGAGCCAACAGGGACATGGGTAAGAAGGGCCTCAGGAGAGTCCAGCCAGTGCCTGCAGCATGCACAATTCTGGGCCTCATGGCCACAGGTGGGAACAGGGCTTACCCACATCCCAGGTAAGGAGGCCCAGGCTGCAGGGTAGATGACCAGAGCTGTTAGCAGGGCCAGACTTCCATGTCAGGCAGCAACCAGGGTCAGCTCTGGAGACCAAAGCCTCGTGCACATTTCTCTCCCATCCCCACCAAGTTCTTGCCTTTATCACCTTTCCAAGGACACCCCAGGAAGCCGACTGCCACCCCCAGGTGCCAGGCAGGTTCTCCCTCCCTCTCACCCCCTGGGTACAGGCAAGGGGCTGGCTAGCTGAGAGTGGCTGGGTGTCTAGCACATAATCAATGGTAAAGAATCAGCAGTTGTAGGACTAGGCGCTGAGGCTCACAGAGCAGAGAGAACTGTCTGCTAGGGTCACCCTCTGAAGAAAGAGCAATGACACTTCAGAGGTGGGAAAGAAGTGTTCAGAGACATGAGGGCATCACCTAGTAGGAGCATGGTGGGCCTGGGTCTTGCACTTCCTGAGTGGGGACTTGGCCATGACTCCCAAAACCACCTAGAAAAAACAGTGCTGTACTGCCCGCAAGCCTGCTCTTGTAAGAACATCCTCCTCCTAGCCACCAGCCCCACCCCCTCTGCCCCACCCCCCACATACTCCCAACCTCACCAGCAGGGGCTGGTGAACTCTGGCTGCAGCCAAAGGGAACAGAACCCACCCAAAGGCCTGAACCATCTGCCATGGGTGTGCACAGAGCACTGGGAGATGCCAGCCACTTAGAACCAGGTTTGGTTCCAGCCTCTGAAAGCAAGGTGTTGTTACTGCCACTGTAAAGGCAAGCCCGGGGCCCTAATATCTCAGAGCTGGAGGAATAACCAGGAAACCTAACAGTCCCTGTGAGAATGGGGTCCCAGTGTCTGCAGTGGGTGCAGGGTGTTCAGTGTACAAGGGGCAACACAGACAAATACCCACAGTCTCTCCAATCCACCCCAGGAACCCCCAGAAGCCAGAGTGAGGTACATCCATCTGTGCTCTGACAGCCAGCAGCAGGCACAATGCCAGCCAAAGACCCTGAGAGGTGGGTCACACACCCACTACCCAGCCAGGGACCTGATAGCACAGTCCAGGCCCCGGAGCCAGCCAAATGGGGCACCAGCCTCAGCTCTTGATGTTAACTTTGTAGCCAAAATCATGACTCTGCCTTAAGTTCAAATTTCACCTTTGTCCCTTATAGGCCAGATAACCAAGCCACTCTGATCCTCCCTCAGTATCCTCCTATACACAATGAGAAGGAACACAGCACCCACCTGGCAGAGTTATCAGGTAGGGCACTCAGAATGGCCCTGGGCAGGCATCAGCCTACCTGCCATCTCAGAACCCCTACCCAGGCTTCAGGACCTGCCCAGAGGCCTCAGAAACAAGTTTTCACAAATAATGACTGCAGCAGCAACAGCTGTAGTCACTAGGTGCCCACACTCCACTGCCCAGCATTGGGGTGCAACGGTCGCCTAATCTCGGTCTGTGCACGAGGTGTTTTCATTCCATATTACACATGAGGCAACATGGCTGGTTGTCAGGGACCAAATGGGTCCCCCCAAAAGTTCTTGCATCCATCAAAGCACTATTCCACATGCCCCAACAATCCTCCAGGGAGGAGCTCTTAGCCTCACTTATTTGGGAAAACTGAGGCCCACAGGTGACGTCACTGCACAATGAGTCAGGGGTCTGGCTGGTCTCTTCTGGGTTTGTTGACTTGGACACCCCAAGGATGGCGGCTCACGGCATCCTTCCTGCAGAGAGCTTCTCCTGTCAGCTGCACAAATAGGCCTGCTATACTTCCCAAAAGGAGCATGAAGGCATCTCCTGCTGAACAGGAACCCAGAGGCACCCCAGATTTCCCTAGGTCCAGCATATTCTACACAGTAGAGAAAAGAAATGCCAAACCATGCAGAGCCATCATTTCTGTGCAACTTCTATGCTGCTCCTGGGTCAAACCAAGTCACAGTGGCCTCTGAGGTGGGGAAGGGGCTCTAGGCTGTGGTCATGGGGTTTTTAAAGAGCAGGTCAGTATTATCGGCACTTCATTTGGCATGTGGCAACCAAGGAAGCAGCTCTCCCTGGACCATCTCTCCTCTTGGTCCCATGCTCGCCTTCCTCAGGCTCCAGTCTGCACACCCATCTCCCACCCTGGTACTTGAAAATGTGGTAAATTGTGCTCCCTCTCACCAAGCCTTAGTTTCCCACTGTCAGCAGCACTCTATGGCCAGGCTGGGTAGATAGCACCATGTGAGGTGGAACAATGCTCCCACTAGCCTCCTCCCGACTTGGGAAGGAGAGAGGCTACCGCACATGGATGGGGATGATGGAAGAGTGTGATCCTGACCTCCTGCTCCACCTGCCTCAGAGTCCCCAGGCCTGAGTCTGGAGTGACATGAGTTCCATGGGGCATCCACAGCAGCTGTCAGAGGGAGTGGGTGAGGCCGCCATGGAGACAGCCCAGAAACAGGACACAAGCCGCCAGCCACTGCCACTATCTGCCTCAGACGTCAGGCTGAGGCCCAGATGGCCAGGCAGCCCAGGGCTGCCCAGGTGCAGGCCCACTGTGACGACCGTCGCCACAACAAACAGAGGTTCACAGGCTGCCACCACCAAACCACAACAAGTCACCAGCCTCAGCTTGCAGGGCCCCGGGCACAGGTGGGCACAGGGCCAGACATCTGTGTGTCCTCGGCCCACTCCAGCCTCCCAGAAGTACCACAGGCAGGGAACAGGGAACTCAGCCAACGACCTAAGGTACAGAGACAGGGTCTCCCCAGACTCAGACACAACTCTCACCAGTGCCTCAATTCTTCCCTTGCCCTCTTTCCCATCTCAGGGCCTTTGCACATTCTGTTCCCTCTACCTAGAACACCCTTCCACCAATTTCATCCTAGCTGTTATATTTCACCTATTCAGTGAGGCTCTCCTGATGGTTCTAGCTAAGCTTCCTGGCTACTGGTCCTCCCAGCATCCAGTTGGCTTCTCTCCTGTCACTTGTCACAAGTCACTATTGTAGTTACTCTCTCAGAGAAGCAGTTAGAAGGCTTACAAGAACAGATTCTAG